GATCTGCCGCCTTGGCCTCCCAAAGTGCTGGAATTACAGGCGTGAGCCACCACAGCCTGCCCCAGGTGCTGTTTTAAGTGCAGCAACCCAGCAGTGAAGGAGACAGGCAGCCATCAGTGTTAACCCAGAGTCAGCTAGGAATTCCCCATGCAGCAGCAGAGACATCTGAGGCCATAGAGGACCTGAACAAGGGAAGCGCAATTCCAGCCTGTCTGGACTTTTGGGAAGAAAGCCACTTGGGCTTCTCCAAACACAAGCAAATAAAACAGTTTTGTGGGTCCCCTGTCCCCGTCTACTTTCCCAGAGCTCGCTGATGGCTGGGAAAGAGGTGGCTGGGAGGGGGTGGCTGGGAGAGGTGCCTGGCTCCGCTGGCCTGATGGCTTCTGGCCGTGCTTCCCTCCCAGGTATACGAACTCAGTGGAGAGCGGCATGACGTACAGTGGTCCGTGAAGACTTACCAGGAAGTGGCTGAGAAGTTTGTGGAAACTCACCCCGAGTTTATTGGAATCAAAATCATTTATTCGGATGACAGGTGAGAGAGAACATTGCTGAGGAGCTGAGGCTGGGAGACTGGGAGGCAGGCGGAGCTGCTGGGCTGGGAGGGAAGTGCCAGTTCGGGAGACGCCGCCCAGCACGGGTGCCAAGGGGCTTTCTGTGTGTGAGGACAGTAGCAGGGATGGGTCCTGAAGCCCCTCCTAGTTCAGGTCTTCACCACCAAACCGAAATGAAGAGCGTGTCAATTTCCCAGATAAGTCTTGTCTGTGACTCCATGTCAGCCTGGGTGACTCAGGTATAATGGTTTAGCCTGAATGTTTGGATAATTGGCCCATTGTTTGGTTTCAGTTTGTTCTGTGTTCGGTTGCGTGCGAGCCCCTGATCAGGGAGACGTCCTGAGTGGCACCGGCTCAGGTCTGCATATGGAGAGCCCCAGTAGCACCACGTGCATGGCCTGGCACGTGGGTGAAAGACCCACTCTTTTTCCCAGGGAAGCACAGAAAGCTTTGCAGCTTCAGCGTCCTGACTTTACCAGACAGGACCTCTCCCCTCATTTTAAAGAGCAGCCAGTCTAAGGCTGGGACCTGTCTGTGGCCACAGCCGCAAGGGCAGCAGCCAGTGGGGTCACTCAGAGTCAGGCACAGGGTGGGCAGCGAAGGGATCAGCACGGCGGCTCCTCTGCTCCACCCACCCACAAGCCTGGGCTCTGGAGGGCATTGACTCGCCAGGAGCCTCCTCCCAAGCCCAGTCCTCCTGAGTCCCCTCCCCTTCCAGGGGGCCTGGGCCCCGGAGGAGCTGAGCTCTGGCCTGTGTGCCCATCCCCCTAGGAGGGAGCTTGCAGGATGGGCCCAGGTTCTGCTCAGCGGCTCCCTCGTGCCAGCTGCCCCTTGCCAGGGCCAATGGCAGGAGGGTGTGGGGGCTAAGCTGAGCGCACCAGTGCCCCCAGGTTCGCCTAGGCTCCAGGGAGAGGCCGTGGGTGGAGCTGGCCAGGAAGGCTTTGCCCCCACAGAGCCAAAGATTGGAGCCGGAGAGTCAGTGGCAGGGAAGAGACCTGGAGCCTGTTGTGGGCTTGCGCCAGACCCCGTTTTGGTGTTTTTGTGTCATGCTGCCTGCCTTGCCCTGGTAGGGTTTCTGCAGTGCCCAGGGTCCTGCTGATGTAATCAGCAAGAGGCCAGATGGTTACCAGGTCCAGTCAACTCAACAGGGACTTGGGTGACCTGTGGCCCTTTGCAGGTGTCCAGTGGACAGACAGCTGTCCCTGAACGGCATCCACGTCCATGCCCCCTCACAGAGATGCAGGGAGAGTTGAGAACAAGGCCACTTGCCTCCTCCGAATGCAGACAAAGAAGACTGTTCCCGTGGGTCCTCTGACTCCACCTACTTTTCAAAGACTACAGGTCCCCCTAGAGCCAGCAAGTGTCTTTGAAGTATCGATTTGTGCCAGGCGCGGTGGCTCACGCCTGTAATCCTAGCACTTTGGGAGGCTGAGGTGGGTGGATCACCTGAGGTCAGGAGTTCAAGAGCAGCCTGGCCATCATGGTGAAACCCCATCTTTTTTAAAAAAAAAAAAAAGAAGAATGGATTTGGGGTCACAGTGGCCTGGTCGGGGTGGGGTCAGGAGAGCAGGGGTGCCTCAGGTTTGGGAAGCGGCTGCTGTGCACTCAGGGCCGCCCAGCCCCACACAGAGGGCATGCTCTGGGGTGTGTAGCTCTCTGTCCGTGCTGGGCACTGTCTCCTGGCTTTTCCATCTCTCTCGCAGATCCAAAGATGTGACTGTCATCGCAGAATCCATCCGAACAGCCATGGAGCTCCGGACCAAGTTCCCCACGGTGGTGGCAGGGTTCGACCTGGTAACCCATGCTGTGAACACGAGGGCTGCCTGTTAAGGGTGCATGCAGGGATGCCTGTCTGGGTGGAGCGGCAGCTCCCTGGGACGGGAAAGCGATGTGCCTTTGGTACCCCTAAAATCCCAGGGACAGGCTCAGCCTGCTGACCCAGCAGGGCTGCTCAGAGCTCAGTGCTGATCCTCTTCAGGGGCCTGCGGAGGATGGCAGTCACTGGAGAAGGGAGAGCAGCCAGTTGGCTAAGAAGGAAAGTTCCAGAATAAGGATGGCATTCAGGGAGTTCTGACGACAGTGATGGTCTCATTCCCCATGGCCCTGCCTGTGCCCTTTTCTCTATTCCACACTGCTCACCCAGGTGTGGCTCTGAAAACCCTCACTGCCCCCTGTAGCATGCAGGGTGGGGGGTGGGGAATAATATCTGGAAACAGAGTCCAGGATGGAGCCCGCTCTTTGCAAATACTCAAGGCAGTGATATTTGTCCCTGCCCTCTTTTCTATTCCATTTTCTTCCTTATCTATATATATATTTTGAGACGAAGTCTCACTCTGTCACCCAGGCTGGAGTGCAGTGCTGCGATCTCAGCTCACTGCAACCTCCGCCTCCCAGGTTCAAGTGATTCTCCTGACTCAGCCTCCTAATTTTTGTGTTTTCAGTAAAGACAGTGTTTCACCGTGTTGATCAGGCTGGTCTTGAACTCCTGACCTCATGATCCACTCGCCTCAGCCTTCCAAAGTGTTGGGATTATAGGTGTGAACCACCATGCCCAGCCACACCTGTTTTCGAAGCTGCGCATTCATAGGTGTTGTCATTGTCCCACACCCTCCCACCAAATCAAAGCACAGCCAGGACAGATTTCTTAGGTGAAAGCTCATTAATCTCATTAAGACTCTAGACCCAGAGCGGTGGTGCTGGCCAGGCGGAGTGGCTCACGCCTGTAATCCCAGCACTTTGGGAGGCTGAGGCAGAATCACTTGAACTCAGGAGGTGGAGCAACCACTGCACTCCAGCTGGGCCACAGAGAGAGACTCCATCAAAAAATAAAATCTAGATTAGGCCAGGGCAGCGGCTCATGTCTGTAATCTCAGAACTGTGGGGGGGGGAAGGTGGGAGGGTCTACAGAATCTCGCTCTGTTGCCCAGGCTGGAGTGCAATGGCACGATCTCTGCTCACTGCAACCTCCACCTCCGGGGTTCAAGCGATTCTCCTGCCTCAGCCTCCTGAGTAGCTGGAATTACAAGTGCCCACCACCATGCCTCATTTTTGCATTTCTTTTTTTGAGACAGAGTTTTGTTCTTGTTACCCACGCTAGAGTGCAATGGCGCCGTCTCAGCTCACTGCAACCTCCACCTCCTGGGTTCAAGCGATTCTCCTGCTTCAGCCTCCCAAGTAGCTGGGATTACAGGCATGTGCTACCACACCCAGCTCATTTTTGTGTGTTGTGTATTTTTAGTGGAGACAGGGTTTCTCCATGTTGGTCAGGCTGGTCTTGAACTCCTGACCTCAGGTGACCCACCTGCCTTGGGCTCCCAAAGTGCTGAGATTACAGGCGTGAGCCACCACACTGGGCCTCATGTTTGCATTTTTAGTAGAGATAGGATTTCACTGTGTTTGCCAGGCCTTGACCTCCTAATGTGCTAGGATTACAGGTGTTAGCCACTGCACCCAGCCAAGAGGTGCCCTTTTACTCCTAAAGCACTCAGCTACGGAGCCCCACGGCTGTGTGTAGCTTACTTTGAAAAGCATGGTTTTGGTGTGGTTGTTCTTCCTGTTATAGGCAAGAAACTGAGTCTCAGGGAAACTGACACACAGGGGCCTACAAGAGGTGGGTGGCAGTGGTGGCTGGAGTCCTCTGACACCTGGGGCCGGGCTTTCATTCTCTCTCTCTGTCTTACCCTCTGGGTCCCTTTTTTTTTTTTTTTAGACAGTCTTGCTCTGTTGCCAGGTGCCAGGCTGGAGTGCAGTGGTGTGATCTTGGCTCACTGCAACCTCCGCCTCCCGGGTTCAAGCAATTCTCCTGCCTCAGCCTCCCAAGTAGCTGGGACTACAGGTGCACGCCACCATGCCCAGCTAATTTTTGTATTTTTGGTAGAGACAGGGTTTCACCATGTTGGCCAGGATGGTCTCGATCTCTTGACCTCGTGATCCGCCTGCCTCGGCCTCCCAAAGTGCTGGGATTACAGGCTTGAGCCGTGCCTAGCCATCTCTGGGTCTCTTTAGGTCTCCCTCTGACTCTCCTTCTCCTCCCTCCCTGCCCACCTCAGGCTCAGGGCTGAAGCACTTGGACCTGGGAGGTGCTGTGAGGAGCCAGGGCGGAAGGGGCTGGGGCATACAAAACATAAACTCTGAAAATAGGGGAACTATTTCAGGGGACGAATGAGCTCTCTTTTCTTTCTCAACTATGTTCCTTCCCATTCTTTTTTTTCTTTTTTTTTGAGACAGAGTTTCGCTCTTGTTATCCAGGCTGGAGTGCAATGGTGTGACCTCGGGTCACCGCAAACTCCGCCTCCTGGGTTCAAGCAATTCTCCTGCCTCAGCCTCCCAAGTAGCCGGGACTACAGGCGCGTACCACCATGCCTAGCTAATGTTTGTATTTTTGGTAGAGACGTGGTTTCACCATGTTGGCCAGGATGGTCTCGATCTCTTGACCTCGTGATCCACCCGCCTTGCCCTCCCAAAGTGCTGGGATTATAGGTGTGAGCCACCGCGCCTGGCCGCTCCTTGCCATTCTTAAAAGGTTGCATGACAAAGGTCCCGGCAGTGGCGGCAGGGTACAAGGGAGGGTGTGCACGGGCTACAAAGGGCGCCATCAGCAAGTGAGGCACGCGCCCCGCAGACGCCTCCTGTCCCTCTGTCCTGCAGGTGGGACATGAGGACACTGGCCACTCCTTGCACTACTATGACAAAGCGCTGATGATTCCCGCCAAGGATGGTGTTAAGCTGCCTTACTTCTTCCACGCCGGAGAAACAGGTGAGCCCGCGGGAATCAGCAGAGGAGGGCAGTGGGAGAGCTTCTAGCCACGACTCCAGCCTGCTGCCGGGAGACAGGACGGCAGCCGCACCTCAGGGATAGGGCCTGCAGATGCGTCCAGAGCCCTGTCCTATGTTCTCGCTCATTAATCCTGACAGCAGCCCTATGGAGAAGGAATAACTAGGATAATAGAATCAGCCACTTTACGTGTATTATTTTTAATTTATTTCTAATTCTTACCCCAGTCCTGCTCATGTTTTAATCTCCATTTGATAGATGAAGAGCCCAGCGCTCCAAGCGTGGTGTTAGCGGTCCAGGGTTAAAGAGCT